CTTTCCAAAGGCAGCCTGCAGTCAGTAACTGATCAGGTGGAGGGGTAAAGTCCAGCCCCCTTGTCCAGGGTGGGATGATTCTGAAGACCCATCTCAGCTGCAGAGCTCCTCGTACACTGCAGTTTAACTTCCCTTTCTGCTCAATCTGACTTCTTTCCTCTTCCTTCCACGATGTTCATCATAAACATTCCCTAATTAAAATACCATATGCTAATCTTCACCTCATAATCTGATTCCCAGGGAACCCAACATACAACAGTTGTTACCAGGACCAGAAGTAGTCCATAAAAACACACATTGAGATGGGGACTTGGAGATGGATTGCTTTCTATCTATTAGGCAATGAGGATCAAGCCCAGAACTTCATTGTCAGAGTAACTGAGCTCCAAAGAAGGTAAAACTCCCAAACAAAGCAGGTCTGCCACACCAAGGTCAGAACCCTGGTTGGGAAAGAATAGGACCTTGAAACTTGGATAGGAATCTCTGATTTAGCCTCCTGTCCCCAATGTTTTATCAATAATTCCCAGATTCTTCTAAGACATTTGAACACAAAGAATGAGTCCACGCTTCCCTGGTGGCGCAGTGGTTGAGAATCTGCCTGCCAATGCAGGGGTCACGGGTTCGAGCCCTGGTCTGGGAAGATCCCACATGCCACGGAGCAACAGGGCCCGTGAGCCACAACTACTGAGCCTGCGCGTTTGGAGCCTGTGCTCCGCAACAAGAGAGGCCCGCACACTGCGATGAAGAGTGGCCCCCGCTCGCCGCAACTAGAGAAAGCCCTCGCACAGAAATGAAGACCCAAAACAGCCAAAGATAAATAAATAAATTAAAAAAAAAAAAAAAAAAGAATGAGTCCACTCCTCTAAGTTAAGAGCTAGAATTCCCATTTCTCATGAACATTCTGGAGAAAAGAAGTGCTTCCCTCATGAACAACTTCTTCGACTCATAGCTATTAGGCCAATAACTGGTCATAAGGCCCAAAGAGAAACATGTTCATGAAACAGAATAAATGGATTATACCATGAAGGAACTTCAAAGGACCTAGAAAATGTGTATTGGCAGAATCTGAGAGAGTAGTACGTTCTGAGGTCATGGACTGAGAGGAATGGATAAAATACAAATTTGGATAAAAGGATATTTATCAGTATAGGAGCACTTTCCTGGATATGAGTTAACACCTCGGCAAGGAACCTGGGAAATGGTGAAAAAAAACTGGTTTCCACAGAGAAACCAATAGGGAACCACTTACCAAAGCAATTAGGAAGGTGCTGGTGGCAGGTGCACCAGTATCACTAACACATTCCCTGGAGGTTCTCTGCAGGCCAGGGAAGATGGCAAGAGATACTGTTATGGGACTGGGCTCACTTAAAGAGTGGGAATGATAAGATGCCTAAGTTTTAAGTACCAGTGGCTGCACCTAAGTGTCAGAAGCCACCTTGGTGCAATTAATGTGATGAGCAGAAAAGTCAGTGTGGCAGCCAAGGAGCCTTTGCCCTCAGAGAGTTGCATCCCTAAGGAGCAAAATAGATGGAAAACCAACAAGGATACTGCTCAAAGCGAACACTCCAGACAAACTGATGAATCATTAGGAGGCTGAGAGCAGTTTCCCCAATAGAGAGTCAAGAATTTTCACCCATTTTCTAAGCCTGAGACAGTTTTTGAACCCAGAATTTATTTACTGAATGAAAGGCCAAGTTCTCAGGAGAAAGACCCCTGCCCTACCACAGCAAGTGCACATCACAAGATGATGATTACTCCAATCCTTCCCTAAATGGACTTACGACCATTTACTTGGGTTATACATTGAGATAGAGAGAGACACAAACATTAGGACTGTTTGTTGTGGCCTCTGAGTTGATTTTGATACCCAAGGACCAGAAGTGTCATCATGATGGCCCAAATTTGAATGTGAGTATATGGAGACCAGGATATGGAGTCCTGACTCGGTTTTGGCTCATAAAGGATCCTCTGGATTTTACCTGGGGCCATTCCCCTGGTCTCTAAGGACTAGGGAACATATAATTGAAGTTTATACACCCAGTAGTCACCACCACAATATGTCATGGACTTGAGGGTCTCAGAGTAGGAAAACCAAGTGGAAGCCCATGACACCGCCCCATACCCAGCCAAGATGAGACATCAAAAATAAAATTACATCCTGTGGGGAGTGGTAAAAATACTGCTACCCTTAGACCTGAAAGATGCAGGAGTGATGGTCCCCATCATATCTTCCTTTATTTCACTAGTCTGGCCTCTACCAAATCAGATAGATCTGGAGGAAAGCAGTACTCTTACTTGCAAATTCAACTACATAGTGACCTTAATTTAAGCCTGTGTGCCAGATACAGTATCTTTGCTAGAACAAAGTGTCATGTGCTGAAACCCTAAGCCCCAATATGACTACGTTTGGAGACAGGGCCTATAAGGAGGTAATTCAGGTGAAATCATAAGGGTAGGGCCTTAATCTGATAAGATTAGTGTCCTTCTAAGAAGAGACAGCAGAAAGCTAATTCTCTCTTTCTCTCTTTGTGTGCAAACAAAGGAGTGATTATGTGAGCACACAGCAAGGGCTCATAGTGAAAACTACCTTGCTGGTACCTTGATCTTGGACTGCCAGCCTCCGTAACTGTGAGGCAATACATTTCTGTTGTTTAAACAACCCAGCCTGTGGTATTATGTTATGACAGCCCAAGTGTCATATACCCACAAACTAGGTAATATGAAAAGTTCTAAGACATGTGTAAAACCCATAACAAGGAAGAGCTCTGCAGCAGATCCAGACTATGGTATAAGTCAATCCGTGGCTTGTACCTATCAGACCCTATTGTTTTAGAGGTATCAGTGTTGGGGAAAATGCTAGGTAGGGTTTGTGCAAAACCAATCACAGAAGCATAATGCAGATCCTAGAGCCCAGGAGCAATTCTCCAACCAAAATGGAGAACCACATACCTTTTGAAAATCAGTTCCTATATACAGATAGAGTGTCTGAACATGGAATCTCTAGTAATCACGAAGCCAGAAGAGCCAATCATGAGATGAGTTCTATGAGACTCACCAAGTCAAAAATTTGGGAAGGCCCAGCAATAACCCAACATAACACAATGGAAGTATTACATCTGGGATTGAGCATGAACAAAACCAAGGGCACAAGCAAACTGCACAAGCAGTTATCCCAGCCTCTGTCTCACCTCCCATTGGTGCACTACCCCTGACTCAGCTTGCATCTATGGCCACACTGAGGGAATCCCTCATAACCAGAGAGGAAAATGTTGGAGTTTGGTTACCTATGGGTCAGCTTGGTATGTGGGTGAAAGCCAAAAATGGATTGCTACTGGACTACAAGCCAACTCAGAGTTGGCTATAAAAGACAATGGTAAGGAGATATTTGTGTGAAGAGAAGTATAAGCAGATAAAAATATGCACAGATTTTTAGGCGGTGATAAAAGGCTTGCCTTTGGTCCAGGGCTACAGTAAGAATGTGGGAAGATTAGGGACAAGGAGTTCTGGGGGAGAGGCATGTGAATGGACAGAGGGGCAAACACACTGTAAAGAGCTTACATTGCATGTTGATGCTCACCAGAGAGCATGCCCAGGGCAAAGGCACTCAACAACCCAGGTGGACAAAATTCCTGGGGCGGTTGATGTCAGCCGGCCTCTAGTGTTAGCCACCCAGTCGCTGGCATAATGTGTGCATGAACCAAGTAGCCATGGTGACAGAGATGGGAGCTGCTAGACATGAGCTCAACAGCATGGGTGCCCACTTACCGAGGCTGATCTAGCTTCTGCTGCTCTAGTGGTACACACTGATAACGGGCCCCCCAGTATGCACCATCTTTTGAGAAGACTAATTGGCCATTTGGTGGCAAATTGACTACACTGGACCTCTTTCAATGAAGGGATAGCTATTTATTTTAACAGAAATAAAGACATAGTCCAGGTATGGGTTTATCTTTCCTGCCCACAGCTTCACCCAAAACCACTACTTGAGGGCTTAGAGAGTGCTTGATTCATTGACAGTTTCCCTCATAATATTGCATCAGACCCAAAAGGGCTTGTTTTATAGCAAAGGACGTGTGAGAGTGGGTCTATGAGCATGGGATCCACTGCTCATGTCACAAACCACAGCACCCAGAAGCTATCAGCCTGACAAAGCACTGGAACAGCCCATTAAAGGTAGCACTGAAGCACCAGCTCAGAGGTAATACTTTACAAGGATGACACACCATCCTCCAGGGCACATTATACACTTTAAACAAAAGATCTATATATGCTGTCATGTCCCCAGTAGATGGACCACATGTGCCAGGGACCCAGGAAGTGGAAATAGCAGTGGCCCAATTTATCATCAATCCCAGTGAGCCATTTGGCGAATCTGTGTTCTCTGTGCCTATAGCCCTGCAGGCTTTAGCTGCACCCTCCTCACGTTCCCGGGAATCCCCACACTCCACCCACTCAGACTCTGTCCCTGCTCTCAGCGTCCTCATGGTGTTCAAAAGAGGAGACTAATTCCTGCTGGAGGGACCCAAGGGAAGGGACCAGCTCCCCCATCACAGGCTGTGGGCATCTGGTCTGGGCAGATAGGGAGAAGAATGCCCTGAGGCTGTTCTTCAGGGGAAAGACGTGAGGAACAGGTAGAGACAATCTCCTGGGACAAACTTGCAGCTGCCGGGAGGAACTACTGGTCCCGAGGACATGCAGTGTCACATGTGGGTTGCTGTGGCCTTGGACCTTGGCAGACATGTGATTGGGGCCACAGGGTTCCACACCAGAAGCCCGCATTGGGGTGGGCTAACCCTAACCCTAACCCAGGACACTGGCACACTGGAAGGCTCTGGATCTCTGGCCCACACAGGTGCAGCTCACCCCCACCTCTTCTGGCTTAGGGAAGTCCCTCCCCTGCACAGCCTTTCAGTCAGAGCACATCCCCCTGTACCTGGCTGGGCTCCCAGGGGAGAGGTATCTCTGCACTGTGACCCAGAGCGGGGAGGAAGCCTGGGCGGATGAGGTGCTTGATAGGTGGTGTGAGCCAGACTTCTTATGGAGGAGTCTTGGAAGAGGGGCCGCCAGCACCAGTCACCCAGGTGTTTCTCATCCCAGGACTTCTCTCCCTGCTCCGTCTGACAAGCAGGGTGTCAGACCCCTCAAGAAGAGTCTGTGTCATGACAAACAAGTAAACCACTGTGACCAGCAGGGGTCTTTGCTAAAGGTGAGGGGGTGTCTAGAATGGATAGGGGAGAAGGGATCATTACAGTGATGAGGGCTGCAATGTGTCCTATCTACCTTCCATTGCTAATTTTCCCCAGGAAGAGACACCCACTAGAATCTTGAAAGAGCTGATCCCAGCAGAGAATCTATAAGGAAAATTGTGATGGAGAATATGATCTTCAGAACGATGGAAATATTCCCGTATTTGCTGGGAGTCTTGCCAGAAAACAGCTCTCCATGTCCAGCCTCCTCGGGGACTGCCTCAGGTAAAAATATCTGCCTCTTTAAGGTTACACATCCATCCAGAGGCACTCTACCTCTAATGACTATCAACATGAGAAGAAAAGGCCTGGATCCCTCACCCTAATGAGATAATTTTGAATCCCAGGTCCATGGTCCCTGTGGAGGTCAGTGGAGGTCTTTATTAGGATGACTTCACAGCTGAACCTCTGCTTTCTTTTCTCCCTCACACAGGGTGGATCCCAAAAGCACTCCTTAGCAAACATCCTGCATGCTAATCTCCATCTCAAAATTTGTTGCCCAGGGAATCCAACCTATAACCAGGTACACAGTCAATTAAAATGGTTTTGCAAGCTACAATTGCTCTTGTGTCATCAAAGGTTTATGCCATACCCAATTTTATCTCTGGAGAGTCAAAGAAAGATTTAAGTTTTGCATGGAATTGCATTTCAGTGACACAAGGAACCACTATTTAAGTGCTTATTATCTGTGAAATTAAATTTTAAAATAGTCTGAGAATTTTAAACTTCAAACAACATTACAATTAATATTGCACAGAATGCTTTTTCCTTTCTTTTTAGTCACCATGGGAGCAAATACGTTAATAAATATATTTTGATTTGCAGAAAGGTTGCATTACTAATAATTTGAATGACTGCAACTAAGATCCTAAAAAGGACCCTTTTCCTTGAAAGTTAGACAAAGAAAGAACAAATATTAATCCAACATTGCTTTTCTCTCATGAAGTCTTCCTCACTTTTCTCAGCATCTGGCAGTAAAAATGCAAAACTCATAGATTTACTTGTATCACTATTGAAAGTATTTTGAGAAGTCTTTGGAAATACTGTGTCTTTTTAGAGACTCCAACTCAAGGTAAACATTTAAAGCACAATCAATCAATCGATGTCTGAATTAAATAACGTTTCTTAAATGTAACTGATAATGCATTCAATATACTCACCGCGAAATAGGAAAGCTTCTGCAGGCACTGATTTTGTTAGTGAAGTTAACTTTTACACTTACCTCTCAAAGGTATCTGCAGGTCAAATTCAGAAATTCTATTTGCATATTCCACTAAAGATTAACTAGCCTGTCACAGATCTGAAAAGCAGAAGAGAGAACAGATCATTAATATCATTAGCATAATATATTGTTCATGAAAACCCCAAAGAAGGGAAATATTTAAAAAACTGGAAAGCTCAGCACAGAAATTAGAAAGAAGTGTTTGTGTTTGAATAGAAGAAAATTTGTTATAGTTGCTAGTCAAAACAACAAAGGGAAACAACCAAGGTAATTCAGAGAGCCAGGAGATGTTATTTGGGGAGAACCAGAATACTAAAAGAAATGAGTCTTGATAGTCACATTACTGCTGCTCTTCCTAAATGGTACTGTATCCTCATATATTTTATACACTTGTTGGAGAAGACTTTGAAACATTAATCTGTGCCACAGTAAAATTATATTATGCAAAGTGCTTTAAATGCTAAAGCTTAGCATGATTAAGCAATACTGAAACTATTGTGATGCTATAGAAAATGAGTGAACTTATCCTCAATAAGAGGAACCAAGAGCTTCAATTATCTGCCCACAGACTGTAATTTGAGTTTGTGTATGCAGGCTTATAAAAAGGATTTAAAAAGAAAATAAGTCCCATAAATTTGTTTAGGAATTTTCAGCAGTATTCATGACCACTTAACTTCCATTTAAGTTTCCCAGGACTTATAGTAAGTCATGTACGATCTCAGTCATCCTCTCAAAAAAAAAAAAAAAAAAAAACACACACCTATCCTTCACATCTTTATTTATGCTCTGTTTTACAGATTTCAGACTCTTAAGGAGAAAAGAACTAAATTCACCATTTGGTTGTTCAAATCATTAATTCTTCATATCACCCAAGTAATGTGTTCCTGAAACCTTTTCACATCTCCAAATCTTATCTGATTGTCAAAACCCAGTTCTATCCCTCTTGCAAGAAGTGTTCTAACGTGTCCTTAACAAAAATTTCTTTTTGAAGTTATTACATTGATATCTGTAACATACATATTAGCTTTTAATGGTAACCTATTTATCATCATCTGACTCTCCCATTTGTGTCTAATCTGTCTCCTTGTAAACCATGTAAGTAATTTTAAGATAAATGTCATGCCTTCTATTTTTGTACCCTTTTTTGCGTACTGGGTACAGAGTAAGAGACCAAAAATATGTGCTGATATATTGGACAATGATTCTTCTTTCATTTACATAAAGTTTAAGACACCTTGAAACTAAATAACAAGCTCAGAATCTTTACACTTAAGCACTAATTTGTGATCTCTTTTCAATGACCCTCATTATTCTCAGGAATTCCAAAGTTAAACTCAGAGATTGTTATTTTTTTAATTAATTAATTTATTTATTTATTTATTTTTGGCTGTGTTGGGTCTTCATTGCTGCATGCGGGCTTTCTCTAGTTGGGGCTACACAACTGGGGCAAGCTGGGGCTACTCTTCATTGAGGTGTGTGGGCTTCTCATTGAGGTGGCTTCTCTTGTTGCGGAGCACAGGCTCTAGGTGCATGGGCTTCCATAGTTGTGGCACGTGGGCTCAGTAGTTGTGGTGCACGGGCTTAGTTGCTCCGCAGCAGGTGGGATCTTCCCCAACCAGGGTTCAAACCCGTGTCCCCTGCATTGGCAGGTGGATTCTTAACCACTGCGCCACCAGGGGAGTCTCAGATTATTTTTTTAAAATATTGCAAAATTGCTTGTGGGCATATCTATCAACATTAAGAAAGGAGAGGTGTCATTTAGCCGGCCAGTCGGCGCAACGGGCTTTCCGTCCTAGAACCGTGGTCCAGTTTGTCCGTAACCTCGCGGAGAGGGCCCCAGTGCTGGTCAACGCTGCTGTGACTTACTTGAAGCCTCGATTGGCCACATTTTGGCACTATGCCAAGGTTGGGCTGGTTCCTCCAACCCCTGCTGAGATCCCTACAGCTATTCACAGCTTGAAAAAAATTATCAATAGCGCTCAAACTGGTAGCTTCAAACAGCTTACAGTTAAGGAAGCTCTACTGAACGGTTTGGTGGCCACTGAGGTGTGGATGTGGTTTTATGTTGGCGAGATCATAGGCAAGCATGGCATCATTGACTATAATGTTTGAAAACCAATCTTTGCTTTGTTATTTGGGTGTTCTTGGACCATGTGTGAGCAGACTGCTATTTGAATAAAATAAGACAATGTGTCAAAATCAAAAAAAAAAAACTGTGCTCAACTAGAGCAGCTTGAGAAGGAAGTTTGCTCAGGACCCTGTTGAAATGTGCGGACTCCACCTATGCTACCTTCTTCTCAGTAGATCACATTAGTTAGGTTCAGTGGGGTGCTTTGCATAGTGGCAAATTTGTTAAGAGGGAACTATATTTCTCATAACTTACAAAAGTAAATGGTACAATATTTTGGAGATGGAAGGAAGGCAGATGCCATGACTGTTTGAAGGTTATCATGGTTAGATTCATGACACGACATGACAAACAGCCGCAGGGCTGCTCCCCACGTCCCAGCTGGTCCTCACTCCCTCTGCTCTGTATACAGTGCTGACTGTGGACTGCCAGCCCTGCAGAACAAGAGCAGCATGGCACCATCACTAAATGTCGGGTAGCGTAACAGCAGTCACCATAGCTTCCCATAGACTGTCCCAAATCGGCAACACCAACACTGGGCTTCTCAGATTGACTAGTCAGTGGCAACTCTGATCATCCAGTTCTCATGTTCAGAACTTCACTATCTGAATTCTTTCCACAACTATGGAAGTTTTAATGTCTCTACTATATCCCTGCAACAGACTGTATTTTCTAAAGATGACCACAGTGATCACTCCCATTCTACATGATCTCACAAGGTGACTCTTGATTCAGACATGCCTCACATCAAGTGCTGGGATTTATTCTTCACCCTCATGTCTTGAATCTGGGAAGACACTTGAGACAACTTCAAGCAATAGAGTGTGGGGCTGATGGTGCTATATTATTTCAGAGGCAGATCATCGTACTGAGAGGTACTTTTTTTTTTTAATTGGGATATAGTTGCTTTATAATTTATACTAGTTTCTGCTGTACAGCAAAGTGAATCAGCCATACATATACATATACCCGCTCTTTTCTGGATTTCCTTCCCATCCAGGTTACCACAGAGCACTGAGTAGAGTTCCCTGTGCTATACAGTAGGTTTTCACTAGTTGTCTATTTTATACATAGTAGTGTATATATGTCAATCACAATCTCCCAATTCATCCTACCTCCTCTTTCCCCGCCTTGGTGTCCATACATTTGTCTGAGCAGTACTTTCACCTTGCTTTCTCAGGAAGCTCACTCTTGGAACACACCCCATGAGCTCAGGAGCCTCACAGAGGCCCATCTAACTCATCAGCTGTTAAAGAACTTATGATGTCTCTTCAACATGCTATCATCTTTTTCAAACTCTAAAATATTTCTTTATGCAACTAGAAATTATAATAGTCAGTGAAGTAAGTCAGGAAGAGAAAGACAAATACCATATGATATCACTTATATGTGGAATCTAAAATATGACCCAAATGAACCTATCTATGAAACAGAAACAGAATCACAGCCATAGAGAACAGACTGGTGGTTGCCAAGGGGGAGGGGGTTGGAGGAGGGATGGGGTGGGAGGTTGGGCTTAGCTGATGTAAACTTTTATATGTAGAATGGATAAACAACAAAGTCCTACTGTATAGCACAGAGAACTATATTCAATATCCTATGATAACCCATAATGGAAAACAATATAAAAAAGAATGCATATATATACATTCTGAATCACTTATATATATATGTATAACTGAATCATTTTCCTGGACAGCAGTAATTAATACAAGATTGTAAAAGAACTATATTTCAATAAAAATATTTCTTTATAATCAAGTGAATTTTATCACAAAGCATTTATCAAGTACATCTAACTTAAAATTACCTTATAAATATTTCACTGTCAGCACAATTCCTACACCACTAGAACAAAGAATTCTGCTTTGCATTCCTCAAAGAGCATTCATTCATTTCATATATGCAGCAGCTTCAACCCACAGATGATCATTCTGAGTAGCTGTGAAAAAAATAAAAAGTGCAAAGTTCTCAGGTTTATGTGATAAATCCTTGACATATCTTTTGTTCTCAGGATTCATAACACAATCTAGAGAGTTATTTAATGGGAAAAAATATGTATAGAAATAAAAATAAACTTTAAAATAATAATATTATAATTGCAATATGTAGAAACTCTTCATTTGAAAGAGTAAATCATCCTTATAAATATTTGCTAGACTAGAAGGCATTAAATAGATGCTTGTGTATTTTTTTAAGCAGTGCTTTTCCATCTCATATTCTTTGAATCTTTTTCTTTCACAGTTACTATGCAATGATCCATTAATTCCTATAACCACCATAGAACCTGTTTTGGCATTTTGTGTTTCAGAATTCTTAATGCATTAGCAAAGAATTTTCTGCCCTGAGATGTATTTGATCTTGGGTTGATCTAACAAAAGTCAAATTTCACAATGAGGCAGATACTTTATAGTCAAATGTATTAGTAGTAGTCAGAACCAATAGAATATTGGGGGAGAGAGAGAGAGAGGAAGAACAAATATTAATTTTAAGAAAAAGACTGGCTCATGTGATTGTGGGGCTGGCATGTCCAAAACCCACAGGGAAGGCCAGCAGACTGGAAATTCCTGCAGCAGTCTGTGTTGTAGTCTCAAGTCCAAAGGCAACATGGAGGCAGAATTCCTTCCCCTTCAGGGGACCTCAGTCTTTTCTCTTAAAGCTTTCCATAGATGGTGTGAAGCCCTCCCACTTTATGGAAGGTAATCTGCTTTACTCAAAGTCTATGATTTAGATGTCAATCACATTTAACAAATGTCTTCACAGCAACACCTAGACTGGTGTTTGACCAAACAACTGTGCACCATAGCCTAGCCGAGTTGACATAAAATTAACCTTCACACCAGGTAAAACTGAGTCTCTAAATTTTTATTTTATCTTATTTTAGAATGAATTTAGCTATGTAAAAATAAGAGAAGCACATTACACAAGTACAGAAAAGTCAAAATTAATACAGAAAAATATAAGAAAATGTGCATTACTTGAATGGGTTCAAATAAATTTGCAATTGTAATACAAACTATGAATTTTTAAACATGTTTACCATATAACAGTGAAGTAAAACTAAGGGATTGTTTTATAGCAAATTTTTTTTTATCTAACATTATTCAAAAATATTACTTCTTTAAACTTCCTTTGTGGAAAAAAATATGAACTGCATGAAAAATTTGAAATCATATTTTTTTACCTGCATTTCAATTTTAGCCAGAATTGAGTAACTCCTTGCTATTAAAGAAACTCCCATAGGGCTGCATCACATATTAGTTCCTTTTCCTGGAGAACTCTTGACTAGGTATCTACTTGCCTGACTCTTTTTCAATCTCCAGTTTTTTTAAATTTTATTTACTTTTTATTGAAGTATAGTTGATTTATAATGTAGTGCCAGTCTCTGCTGTACAGTGAAGTGACTCAGTTATACACATAGAGATATTCTTTTTTTAAATCTTCTTGTCCATTATGGTTTATCACAGGATATGGAATATACTTCCCTGTGCTATACAGTAGGACCTTGTTGTTTATCCATTCTATATATAATAGCTTACATCTGCTAATCCCAAACTCCCTGTCCTTGCCTCCCCCTTGGCAACCACAAGTCCATTTTCTATGTCTGTGAGTCTGTTTCTGTTTTGTAGATAGGTTCATTTGTGTCACATTTTAGATTCCACATATGAGTGATATCATATGGTATTTGTGTTTCTCTTTCTGACTTCTGTTAGTATGAGAATCTCTAGTTGCATCCATGTTGCTGCAAATGGCATTATTTCATTCTTTTTTATGGCTGAGTAGTATTCCATTATATATATATATCATATCTTCTTTATCCATTCATCTATCGATGGACATTTAGGTTGTTTCCATGTTTTGGCTACTGTAAATAGTGCTGCTATGAACATAAGGGTGCATGTATCTTTCTTCAATCTCCAGTTTTAATCACAATTCTCACAGAGGTTTTATGAGATCAATAATTATAATGTATCCTCTAATACTATTTATAATTTTAAAAAATTACTGCTTTATATATTCTTGACATACTCTTTCAATACATTTAAATCTATCTGAAATAATCATATTTACTTGTTTAATTTTCTATTGTTGCCTCAAACCCCTGGAAAGTAATGAGACACCTAATAATACAAATTTAACAAATAAGTAAATGAATGATCAAATGAATGACTAAATAATGCTATGTTATATGGAAATAATGTTCCATGGACTGCACGTTGATGGATGTTGTTTTCAAAAGGTGTATTAATTAGGCTTACCCTACCTTATAATACATAATTGTTCGAACATGATAAAAGTTTATTTTTTGTTCACGTTAATTATTAAACAAATGAGCCTGATCAGTTCTCATCCAAGTGTTGATTCAGATATTCAGATATTATGATTCTGCTAGTCTCAACACATGACTTCCAAAATTATCAAGCTTGTCTGTATCAAGCCAGTGGAAGAGGAAGGAAGAAGTAGCAAAAGCTGGACCTTTACCTTTACGTTGATCCAGAGCCAACAAACTTCACTTTAAGAATGATTCTTAGGTTAAGATTTAGACACAAGGGAGGCGGATGCAGCCCCTTTCCTGCCACAACTTTGTACTGTGGAATACCCATGATGATCTTAAGTTCTGAAAATCTCTCCACTATCATATTTTTGAGTCATGACTTTTTTTTTCTACTTATATCTTTTTAAATTTTCTCTGTCAGGTTTACAAATGAAGTTGGTATGTAGCGTCCTAACCTTACTGTATCATTGTGTTTGGGGAGCACCCTCAGAGGCATTTATAGACAACATCTGGCAAGACCTCAAAAGCATGATTTATTGTGTTAACCTCATTACTTTCTTTATACTATTTTTATTCATTTTATTTCTCATTTGTTCTGGTTTCTTCAAATGATGGAATAAAGTTCCGTGCAGAACACATAAAGGAGACAAAAATATATTAAAACATATATAAAATATGCAATGACATTTTTAAAGATAAACAGATTTG